TATTTTTGGGAGAAATTTTTTTTACCACAGTCAATCATTTTCCCTCCCATATAAAATAATAAAACCCTAATCTAACCTATACCAACACCATAGTCGTTCACCTCTGTCTCCCCTTCCTCCCTCTCTTCCGTGGACGTTGTGGTCGCCGCCACTTCACCTCCCTCTTCCTCTGTCGTGCTCGCCGCCACCCTCCGCCCTCCGCCGCGCCTGCTGTGCTATGCTGCCCCCCCCCCTCCCGTCCTGCGCTCCTCGTCGTGCTCTGTTCCCCTCGTCGCACCCACTATCGCGAGGTTACTGACTCTTCCCTGCCTCCCCCTTTCCTTATCTCTGTTTTTTTTAAGATCTGTGATTTTTCATATTACAGATCTGATTTTTTGTGTTAGTCTCTAGTGATAGTCTCTACAGGTATGTTACTAGTGAGCACTGGTACGTCCCGTGACTAATGGTAGCGTACCACTACCACTAGTAGCGCTACTGGTACGTACAAGTGACTAGTGGTAGCATACCAGTACTCACTGGTACACTACCGGTGGTAGTTTTTGTGTACCACTAGGCAAAAATTATTACCATTAGCGCACTAATGGAGTGATACTTTTTTGTAGGTGGCCGGAGCGAGTATGATTGAAGCCTGAAGGATTACACCGGAGAAGGTCTGTTGGTCGGAGAAAGTCAGCAGGTCGGAGTGAGTGGCTGGTGGAAAGGAAGAGAGAGAAATGCATTTGTGGTAAGATTTAAATTTTAAAATAAAATAATATATTTAATATGGTTTTAGTTTCCCAAAATGTAATCTATCTACAAAAACTAATAAGGCAATGTCAACATAAGGCTTTTTATTCGTTAGTGCTCGTTCCCCAATCCGCATAGTTCGGATGCGCCAAACAGTCTTTCCACCCCAATTCTTTATTCTTTTACCTTTTCGTCTCCGGCTCCGGGAGTAGATATCCTTCTTTTTATAAAATAATAATTAAATAGCTATAAAGCAAGTTTACGGGAAAAGGAATATATTTACTATAAAGAAACAAATTTATGAGGTTCCATTCTCTACTGTTCATTCACGACAAATCTCACCCATTTTTATTTTACCCCATTCATCCTGTATCTAGAATGCAATATATATTGCTACATAGAGTATGTGTAGGATATGAGTGAAATATATAATGGGTTTTGAGGGTTTGTAGTTGATTAGGATATGTTTTGGATATTATTTCCATAATTTAAAATGTGTATAGGTTGGATATTGACTAATTGATGTGAGCTAATTTGATCATACTAACTAAAACCTGATTTGGAATGTATATGAAAAAAATATGTGTTCTAATTACATAACAATTAAATCATATAAGCATACAATATTTAACCATTACATATGCCTATTACATTTTAGGTAATACGACCCGTAAATTTTGTTATACTTTATAAAAATAAGTAACCTTATTTCATAACATTGTAGGAATTCCTTATACTTTTATCAAAATGGATTAATGCATATTTTTTATTTAAAACAATATTTAGCAGTGGTACTAAATAAAGTACACCGTCGCCTAAATCAAAGTATCATTGATTATACATATGTAATTTCCACTCATTCAATTCGAGTTGGATTGACTTCTAATTATTTAAGCTAGCTCATATGGTGCATGGATATTATTGGTTTTGCGAAAAATAATCACGAACAAAGACTAATAACATTAATAATTATCCATATTGTTAGAGCCAATATAGTCAAAAGCGAGTTTCTAGGTAGAAACGTTTTGGTGATTTAGAAGCGTAAAATCGTAAGTTTTTAAGTTTTATTGCGGAGTTTTTAACTACATAAGCTATAAAAACTAAGATTTTGTGTAGAAACGTTTTAGTGACCTAGAAACGTAAAATCGTAAGTTTTTAAGTTTTAAAGCGCGATTTTGACTACATTGGTTAGAGCTATATTGCAATAAAGACTAATAATATTCACGGGTGCATAAAGTCCACATCCTTACGTTCTTTTATAAATTCTAAAATATATTGCTACAAAGAATATTAACATCAGTAATTGTCCATATTACCATAACTATATTGACATAAAGTTTAATAACATCCGTAAAATTATTCATAGTATTAGGGTTAGATGCAAAAGGACGTTTTCTTTTTCTTTCTGAGAGTCGGTCAAGTGGAAAGTAGGTCGAGTATTAGTTAAAGCTACACCTAATCCAACAATTCGAAAACCAAATTTTACCAACACTAGACTCAAAACCCGCCAACGATGGATTTTACCTTCTTTGAGCGGATTGGAATAGGTTAGGTACCCGTGAATGCAGATTCAATTATCATCTCTTGGACACACAGCCAAATGACGCGGGGATTGAGAATATGTGAAGGTTTAAAGATTTCGTTCTCTCCATTTAAAAAATTACGCATCGATAGCCATTTAAGGAGGGGTGAATAATACTTTTCCTAATTAAAATAAAACTAATTTTCAGGCCATCTAAGTTTTGATTCTATATATTTTAATTAAATTATCAAGCTGTAATAATTTTGTCATCACTTCCATGAAGAAATGGCATTAAGTGGTAGGTGAAAAAATTATCATTTGAAAGTTGAAACATTAATCTTAAAAATGAAAAAAAACCTACTCGGCCCTAGTTAATATATATAAAAAGAAAAATAATTAATAAGACTATTTTTCCACTTCCCAAATTGCTTTTGGTTGTCAAACTCACAAGTCACAACCCTATTGAGAGATGTGTCCGTGTATCACATCCCCTCACTTAGGGGTCGTTTGCTTCATGGATTTGGTACCCAAATCCAATCCATCATGGATTTAACAAAAATCCATTGTTTGCTTGCACTTTTTTTGGAGACCAAATCCGTGGGGCCCACGGATTTTAAGGGTCCAAATCCGTGGACCCCACGGACTTATAAATTTCATATGTTGATGTGGAATTTGGAACATGACATAAATCCTTGATGGGATTTTACTCATATACCCTCATGCATTTTTAATATTCCAAGGTTGCCCTCAAATTTAACTATTATACATTATAATTAATCAAGTAATTAACAATGAATGAATAATATAAACATTCAATTAACATTAACCGTTAAACGGAATTTTCTCGTTTATTATTATTGTCCATGTGGCAGCATTATGCTTATTAGTATGTATTGTCTTTGTTTTGTGTACATATCATAAACATGTCAAACATATAGAAAATGATAGTAAGGTAATTTTGAAGTTTTGTCTTTCTTTTGTATACATATCATAATGTCAAACATATATAGAAAATGATAGTAATGTATTTTTAGACTTCAAGTTAGAAATCCCATACCTTTAAATCCATGATAAAAACATCTCAACAAACAAAGGATTGTTACAAATCCATGATGGCTCAAATCCTTGATAAATTCTTGAGTTTTTAAATTACAAAACCCTCGTTTTTTAATCCATGAAGCCACTCGATTCCAGCAGCTTTTAGCCTTTTACTAATCGGTTCTATTCCCTCTGAGGCTACTCGATTCCAGCAGCTTGAGCCCGAAGATATACAGCAAAACAAAGGACCACTGCTTTCTTCTCTCGTTGCGATCTCGATCAATCTCGCTACTACTTTTAGGTCAGAAGGTTCGTCCTATTTCGGCATCTTCTACATTCGCTTTGGTTCTAGACTCTCGATTTCTTGATCGTACTTCTCGTATTCGTTTCTGCCTCTTTGTTCTATGAGTGTATTTTGACGAATTGGTTCTTTGCGGTGGGGTCGTGTCGGGTTGTTGACGAATAGGTGCTGTGATATTGTGAGCGGAACTTTACCATTTCCATTTTTGCCTGGAACCATCACGTTAATGTCTAGGTTTTTAGTCCTCCATGGATTAGTGAATGAGCTTAAAGTTCTGTTCTTGACTGTAGTTTAGGCAGCAATCGTAATTTCAGATCCTGCTTCAATCAAATAATGATGTCCATCTTATTGGATGAACATTGTGGGCATTTTACTTTTAGAATAACCTTGTGGAGTTGTGGTCATTTCATCGTTAGTTAATCGGTGGACTGAATTTCACTTTTGGACTGAAGATGATACTCTGGTGGTGCCTGGGTTGCTCTAAAAAGTGAGACTCTGTGGCATATTTAATGCTTGAATTCGTCCTCTGTAGTTTCAGTGACTTAGGATGCTTGCTTCACATCCAGACTCTTGTTACCTATATTTTCTAGGAATACTTATTCCTTAAATTGATGATATGTTGCGCATTTTCAGCTGCTAGAGTTGAAATGAGTGTTTTGTTGATGTGCTATTGATTGGAAGTCTTAAAGGATGACGAGTTGTGAATGTTCGATCTATTTCATCTTTCGTGAGATGGCTTGCACCAGCTTGACTTTAATGATTTCTTCTCTCCATTGGGAGATTTTCATATGGTTATTTCGAATTGTGCACAAGCCATTTGCAGTTGCAGATGTTTATATGTTCTTGCTCTACAGCCAGCCAGAGACCATTTTACATCTTGAGATAAGTGGAACCCCTCAAGATGTAATACCTTAGTAATTTCAATTTGTGTTGAAAAGGTTTGGAAGAAGAATTGAAGATTTTAATATCGGTCATTTCCAACATGCGTAAGGTTAGTTGATGGGGGGGATGAGGAAAACGGTCTAGGATTTTAACATTGCCGCAGGCAAGGATGAAGTTGGAGAGTCTGGCATCAGCCACCCTTTCTTCTATATTTTCACTCTCCTCTGCAGTGAAACTGATTTATTGAATTGAGACCAGAAAATGATCCCTTTATTGTCAAATGCTCCTCCATCTGTTCACTCTTCTTACCTTGCTAGCCAGCATGCGTAACTGATGTCCTTTAGGCTACTTGCTGTAGTCAGTGTCCTTCTGTTGATTTGCTTTTGACATTTGGTGCATTCTAATCTGTGGATATGAAATAACTCAACTATCACTACATGTTCAAGTTGCAAGCGAAGCAGTCATGCAACAAATTAACCAAAGAAATGATGATTTTATTTATTTGTTTTTCACAACAGGTTCTCTAGAGACATGGAAGATGTCATTACAGAAATCCCACCGCCTTCAAGATTCTTTCAGGAAGATTTGAATAACTTTGCACCTCCATCGCAGCCTCTTCCGTCCCCTTTCCTCTTGTTCTCTGATCCTAAAACTGAACCACTGCGCCCATCTCTTCTGATCATTACATTATCATCTCCATCTTGCTATCTCTTCCATAATATGTGCAATAAGATTCTGATTGGAAGCCTCATACTACCAGAAATCCCTTTCTCAGGCAACTCTATCGAACCAACTCTTGCCGACAAGTGTTGCAATATCTATGCGCTCAATGATGCTGCAGATTTGACTCTGCTTGTCTCCCTCAAGTGTTCTCTGAGTGCTGAGAGGTCCAACATAGTTGCAAAACTGCTTGTTGGTAACCAAATCATTCCCGAGAGGGTTCTGATTTTGGGTTCAGTTCAGAGCCAGAATTTCCGTGGGAAGCTATCACCAGACGAGACTTATGCATTCAAGCTGGAGACATTAGCAGAGAGAGGAAACGGGTCAGATAGTGGAGAGTCATCCTTACTGGAGGGAGTCGACTACTTTCCATCCGGGAGCATGGTTGATGGCTTGGCAGCTGCACTATTGACTCAATGCCAGATAAGGAACATCAGAGGGACCCTGTGTGTTTCATGGCCTGACCATGGCAGTGCAGTTGTAGCTCTGGTTAGGTCACTGTTGCAGAAGAAGGTATTGCATGGATTTGACCTGAGCTCAACAGCTGGCATCGAAGACAAGCATTCGAGGAAAACCCAGATCAAGGATCATGCTTTTGATTCCGAGCTCTACACTTGATGCCCTAGGTTTTTTTTGCTTACCTGCGTTTCAGGTTGGCGACTACTGCCTAGATGTGTTGAAAGTGTTTAGTTTTAGTGAATCTTCCTGAAAAGTCGTTAAGAAAGCTTGCTAGGCAGAAGGATCATTCATAGTCACGAGGATAATTTGTCATGCCTCTGCTTTCGTATGAACTAATCCGAAGCCAGCAGTTTGGAACTGGCTTCTGATCGTATGTTACGCTGGTTCAAAGTTTGGTTAGTCTCCTTTATTTTTCTACTGTAGATTACCCATCTACTGTAACAGGAAATTTCAACTTGTTGATTCAAAGATTGCTTCTATTAGCACCTCTTTGGTGTCATTCGAATATAAAACGTATGCGCGAGGGGAAAAGGATAATTTAGTTGTTTGATTACTTTTTAGTTGGCCTACCTTTTTCTGGCTATGTGGGTTTCTTGGTTGTTGTGGCCTGTGGGAGTGTGCCTGAGCTGCAGGTTCGGATGAGAAAATTTGTCTTAAGAATTCTGTTTCTTAGCATTTGAGCTATATACTTTCCCACTTCCCAGCATTTGCATGCCTGCTCAATCAATCCGCTTTTTGCATAGCAATGTTGTGGGAGACAAAAAAGATGGACTTGTGGTAGTTCACCTACTGGCTCGAACTGAAACAAAAATCCTTCAGACACTTCTTGATCACCTGAATCTGTTCTCTATCAGCTTCAGCGAACGTAAGGAGGTCATCTGTAAAGAAAAGCTGAGTGAGAGATGGACAATTCTTGGAGAGCTTGAGAGCTTTCCATCAGCTAGAACAAATAGCTTCATCAATCATATGAGTCAAACACTCCATATAAAGCACAAATAGATAAAGGAGAAAGAGGGAAAAAATCCCAAAGTACACATGTTCTTAAAAAAAATTCTCAAAATACACATGTTTTATGAAATATTCCCAATCTAAACATGTTTCGGCTTCACTGTGGCCGTCAGACGCGGTGAACAGTATCACCGCGGTCGTCGGATGCGGTGAACGATTCACCGCAATCATCGACATCGGTGAATATAAACTGGCCATTCACCGTTGGCGTCCCATGCGGTGATGGCTTGATTAGTTAATTAGTTGGTTACTTAATTGGAGGCGAAATAATGAGAGGCGAAAGCTTGAGAAAAGCCGGTGGAGAATCAATAGTGTATGCGGCGACCAGATAAATGAAATTCAACCTCGGCTGGGTTGGGGGAAAAGTCCCTGGGTTGGTATCAGATTCCTGGGGAAAAATCCCTGACCGATTTCGATTGTCGCCGTCGCCGACGAGACACTCCGCGATGCGAGTGTTGCGGAGGCGTTGAGACGCTGCCCGACTTCTTCTTCTCCACCATCACCCCCGCGTCCTACTGCTGCTGTCTGCTGATTTGGGAAAGGAATGGGAGCCCAAGATGGATGCATGAAAGGTAAGGTTGGAGGGTCAGATTGGTATTCCTTTCTCTATCTCTCTTCTCTGACCAACCCTTTAGGTTGACGGGAGGAGGATTAATGGCACAAAGCAAACAAGTTTTTGGCGGTTACCACCAATCGTGGGTCTGCGTATTTATTGTGCATTTAATCCAATAATCAGGCCATCACCGCTTGGCACATCAGCGGTGAATAGCCATGAAGTTTTCACTGCGTTCGACGATTGCGGTGAAGCGTTCACCGTGTCTGACGCCCGCGGTGATACTGTTCACCGCGTCTGACGGTCGGAGTGAAGACCAAACATGTGTAGTTTAGGAATATTTCATAAAACGTGTGTATTTTAAGAATATTTTTTAATAACGTGTGTACTTTGGGATTTTTTCCGGGGACAGAGGGTCTCCCTGGCTGACTCCCCGAGTAGGATAGGTTGAGACAGCTCGCCATTCCATAAAACGCACATCCGATTCTGCTCCACACAATGCATAATACAACTTATCCATGAACTCGGAAGGGCAACCACTTTCAAAGTAGCGCGGAGAAAGTCCCATTTGAGTTTGTCGTAGGCATTCTTGAGATCAATTTTGAGAATTAGACTGCCCTTTCTTCAATTCTTCCTCCGGAGTGAGTAAACAGCTTCCTGAACCACTATGATGTTGTCAGTTGTCAGTTGTCTACCGGCACTTGCCACTGCCACCCTCTCACCGCTGTTGTCACGAGGTCTTTTTCGTTAACGACGCCCTTGCCTCCTACGCTTCCTCCCTCGCCGTCACTTGCTAGCAATAATTGGTCAAACCCAATAAAGAAAGTGAAAACGATGGACCAGCTAGCCCAACTTGTTCTGATAGTTCTATTCTCTTTATTCGAATTCATTTTTGTGATTGAGAAAAACCAGAATCATTTTCAGGACGCAATGGAGCAGTGGTACTGCTACTGTTGGCATGGCTTGGACAGAAGGGAAGACATGCTCTTCTGGGAAACTTGCTTGGCGTTAGGCTACCCAATCCTTAACTGATCTTTTCTTAAATGACTAATTTGAAGTTATTAAATTCATTGTTGTTTCAAATTAATGGCTTGGGTAGACGGGTAGTACGGTTACCCGTAATACCCGAACGGGTGTTAACTGGTAATCCGTGGGTACCCATTGTATAACTTCTTGATCCCAAATCCCATCCCATAAAAAACATTACGGGTATATGGGTACCCGTAACCCTCAAAAAACGGGATGGGTATGGGTATACCCTATTTACCCTTTTCCCATTGTCCACCTCCAGTTTGTGATATGTGCGCAGGTAGTGCATGACACATAGCCAGTCGGGAGTTCTACTGCCATTGGACCAAGAGCTTGAAAGGACCTGTCACAACTTCAAGAGATTTGTAAAGGCGCGACTGGCTACAGAGGAAGCTTTGGCTTAACTGAACATCAACCATGAAGACGAAATGGGTGAACCCAATGATGCCGAGGAGCATACCATGGGATACTAATGGACCGCCAGGGCCGCAGACATCCGGTCCAACATCCAACACTCTCAAGTTGTTGCCAAAAACTTTGAGGTGAGCACCTCCATTATCACGATGTTGAGAGGTTCAGTGGTGTTCCATGGGAAGACAGACGAGTGTCCTCGCGCACATCTGCGACGATTCCATGAGTTGATTGATGAGATCAAGATAAATGGGGTCCCTCAAGACGCCATCCAGCTGCGATACTTCCCATTTACTTTGGAGGGATAGGCCAAGATGTGGCTGGACAACCGGCCTCCGGGGTCTATCACAACATTCACCAAGTTGGCCAACAAATTCTTGATCCGCTATCATCCTCCGTCTAAAACGGCGGACCTGCAGAAGGAGATTACACATTTTTCCCAGGAGGAGAATGAGACCATTCCGGACACCTGGGAGAGATACACAAGTCTCTTTCTGAAGTGTCCCAACCATGGTTTCAACGATGCTTCCAAAGTGGGTACATTTTATCGGTCCCTCTTTCCTAAACATAAGCAGTTGATCGACTCAGTTTGTGGTGGAAACATGCTGACTAAGACGCTACCGCAGTTGAACCAGCTCTTTAATGAGATGGCTGAGCAGGGTTTTGATTGTGGGTCTGTACGAAGATCATGGCATGCACCAGGCTGTGGTGCGCATGCCATGGATACACAGTCGTCAGGCCTGGTGAATGTGGTGACTAAGCTGGTCACGGTGATTGATCATAATGGGATGGTTCCAGGTTCAGGGTAGCAGAGTGGATGACTGCCAAGCTATGCAAGAGTCCAGCACACCACAGGAGAAGCTAAAATTCATAAATAATGCTTGACGCAACGACCCCTATAGTAATACATACAACAAGGGGTGGCGCCAACATCCTAATTTCTCATGGAGTGACAACAACAATCCCAAGCCACCGAGCTTCCAGGCTCCTGCAGCTGGTTTTCAAAACCAGAGACAGCCACACCAGCCCCCGCCCAGGCTAGATGCAGCAGCAGTAGTCATTTTATCAGCCTAGACAAGGGCAGACTTTTCAATAGCCCCCACAGCAGGAGCAGTACCAACAACTTGGTGCATCTTCATCAATCCCTATACCTGGCGATTCCATGTTAGAATAGAGGGATCTAGTGACCACCTTGGCCAACACCAGTACCAGAAGTTTAGTAAACTGGAGCAATTCATGGAAGTGGTTGCGAGCAAATTCATGGAGATTGAAGCTAGCCAGAAGAACCAGCAGGCACTCCTGCAGGATATAGACACAAAAATCGGGCACCTGGCAGATGCCCTTGCTTCCAGACCGGTTGGCACATTTCCTGGCCAACCCCTGCCGAACCCAAGAAATCATAAGGAGGGGTTGCACGCCATCATGCTGAGAGTGGGACGGTGACCGATGATGCACCGCCAATGAGTGCAAAGAAGGTGACGCAGATCACCCTAGAGCCGAAAGAGGACCTGGTGATGGGAAAGGAGCCAGAGGTTCGAGCCCTAAAGCCCCAACCACTATTGGTTGAATATAAGCCTAAGAGCCGAAAGAGGACCTGGTGATGCATAAAGACCAGCTAGAGGCAGAGCTCGAGAACTTTATGTCCATGCTTAGGAAGTTGAATGTTCAAGTGCCCTTCTTGGAGGCGACTATCAATGTTATAACATATATATTGTTCAAGAAACTAGGCTTAGGTGAACCAAGTGCAACTAGGATGAGTATCCAATTAGCGGACTGATCCATAGTTCTTCCTAGGAGCATAGTGGAAGACCTCCTAGTTAAGGTTGTCAGATTCTTTTATCCTGTGCAATTTGTTGTCTTAGACATCAATGAAGATGCAGAAGTTCCCCTTATATTAAGAAGGCCCTTTCTGGCCACCGCCAAGGCTCTCATAGATGTGCATGATGGGACCTTGGTTTCGAGAGATGGCGAGGAGCATATAACATTTTCCATTTCTAATAATATGACTGCTATCTCGCATGTCCATGCTTTATCTCACCAGGTGCATGAGTGTGTCATGTATCCTTCTTTGCCTCTCGTTTTGCAGGAATCTCCACTGATTCCATCGCCGCCACTCCTGTCCGTCCCGTTACCAAAAGAAAAGATCAAGGAGGAGTGG